CTGTTCATGATGCGGTTTCTGTCCCGTTCCGTTGCTGATTCCGTTTCTCGATGTGGGGTGGACGAAAAGGATGAACTTTTGTGTCATTGTCCAGGGTGTACTCTAATGTAAATTGGTGTATTCGCCATCGTCTTTTTGACGAGCCTTCTTATGTTGTAGCGGCAGTCTAAAACGAGTGGAGATTTTCTGGCCACTAGATATTGCCTTTCCTCAACGGCGATATATATGAACATCAGACAGCCGCTCCTGTGTTCATCGCTAAGAACGACTAGGATAGGACTTAAAATAATTTGCCTCATATGTAATAATGAACTTAGAGAATTTCTCATTGTACCGCTGACACCAGCCTTGACTGGTGCCTATCTCAATTTTATGAAATGGAGTCAAACAATTGTTGCTGTACTTGCGGGTAGCCTGAGATGTGCTTCAATCGTTAAATATTGTACGCCAAATTTCCATAAGTCTTCGTCTTTGAGTGAATGTCGTTGCACAACACCGCCGCATCTTTACATTTTTAAGACCAATGTTTTACCATTTACTTGTTTTAAGTTTCTTCCATTATTTAATAAATAATATTAGCTCTCAGCAATACGGGGTGTGCTTAAAAATTAACGAGAATTTGAAATTTATGAAGCGATCAGACATTCTTTCTTATATCGATAGCGAGTGACACTGTGCGGCCTATGAAGTCCACTCTATCTGTCGAATACCGGCTTCTTAGAACAATATAAGTCTTATTTTATGGCCAATAGTTTTAAGTATTGTTTGCTCAGTAGCGATTGGATTTAATGAAATTAATTAACTTTTGCTTACTTGTTTTTCAGAAAATAATATAATATTATGTAAAATTTTTCGGGCAACATATTTGTTAAATATTTATAAATGAATTCACGTCGAATGGATTTTTTTTTGCATATCGACATTTTTGGCCAGGCTTCCATCATCACCTTTGAGTAGATAACACATTTAGCTTATCTGAAGTGCCTAAATATATCCTCCTATACATTGAAAATATACATATATAAATATTGAGTTTCCTACTTCAATTACACTTTTTGTTTACTTTGGGAGTTTCAACTCAATTAAACGACTAATCAATTCATTTATTTAGTAATTGAAGCAACCCAAAACTTGAAAATATTTCCTGCCATACCTCCGAAATAATCATTCGAGAATACCAACAGAAATCACTGAGACCACATTGTAAATGATAAATTATTGTAGAAATATTTGTATTTATAACCTAGCAATAACAATAACAATGCTTCTGGCCAGTTTTGGTAAATCCTTTGCACAAACTTAAGCAATGGAAATAAATTATTTATCCTTTTGAGTGGCTTGTGGGCTATGCAGAAAAGCCTTCACTGGCATTAGCCGTAGCTACAATACATACGCATTACAAAATTTTAGTAAGCACACAGATTTGATGGAAATCGGGATATACCATGATATATATAAAACTTTATAAAAAAAATCTTGTCAGGTAAAAATGAAATTCTTCAATAAAATAATTGTATGTATAACATCGAACGCGATTTTTGGCCGAGATACACCACCATTGTAAGTTGAGCAGCTTGAATTTTTTCCACAAATTAAGTCTTTACTTTTCATGAATATAGTTAAATTTTGACATCAAGAATAATGATATACCAAACATCCATATAGCATTATACATTTCGTGGCTTCAAGAGTACATAGCTTTACTTGGGCATTTTTCGAACCAAACAAGTTTTATTTAAATAAAAAGTCAGGCATTTTTGTAAATAGATCGCTTAACAACCACACAACTCGTACAATCGTAAATGTACGACAGAAATGATGATTCAAACGTAGCCGCGTTTCGGGCTTAAAGAGGAGAGGAACACATTTTCAATAATAAATTCAATTACGAATACGGAAAGTGAGGTTGTAGCCGAAGACACCAATGCGTCTATTTCTCGACGCTAATATACAACCAGTAATGCCTGCAATACCGTAATTGGTATAAAAATGGTCCTGAGCTCTCTGCTTTTCTCTGCTTTTCATTCCAAACTTTGCCTAAGACCGCAGTGTCGCTGCAAGCTGGAGCCCAGGGGGGAAGAAATCCGTCTTTGTTGAGACGATATTGATCTATGTACTTAAAACAAATTTTTTTATCAGCAAATGTAAAATTAGAATGCAAATTGCCCTTACATCGACTCTGGTCGCTCCAGTAAATTGTTCTTATCCCTTAAAATATTGTGGTTTATTTTCTGGCTGCTTTCTCAAAACCCTTCTATCACCAAAAAAGTTGTCACTACCAAACTCATATTGGTTTTAATTAATAATCACAATCCGACCACATAATCTCTCATCTTGACATTGGACTGTCTTCTGTGAAGCTCTGTGAAAGATCGTGTTATAAACCGTTAACTCTTGTACACCTAAAAAGTTAATGCTCGTCAATTTATGGCTGCGAGACGCTCATAATGTGCCAGAACGTGGTTGAAAATTACTTGAAACGGATCGAAGTTTTCAAAAGCATGCGAGGCGGAATTTCGAATGATTTAGTGTTTTTCATAGCAATTTTCTGAAAGCATAATAATCTAAAAGCATTTCATTTATGTTTATTGTTGTATCACAAAAATACAACAATATATCAATAATATTTATTTTCTTGTATCTTGCTTCGGATATGTTTAAATTTTTGCAAAATTGTGTTGTAATATTATTTTTCTTATTTTCAACAAATATTTGTGGCACAAATTCTTTCAGAAATGTTTGCTTACTAGCAAGCTCAACTGTGGCTTGTACTGTAGTACACAAGTAATATGGAACATTGCTTTCTGTAGTTATGGAGAGCAAACCAAAAAGTTTTCAGAAAATAATAGTTAAACAAAAGTCTTAAAATCCATCACGAAAATTAAAACTTGTAGGTCAAGTTGCAAGTAAATGCTTTTTGTATGTATGTAAATGTGAACATCTTTTAAACGTACATATTTGTAACTATGTATATACTACTTGCTTATTTTCGCTCCGATTCTACATTTTTATTAATATTTCTGCTTTTATTGCATTTATTTTTTGTTGTTGTTGTTGTTTTTGCGCTGCTGTGGATTAACTTTGTGAAGCATTAGTTGCGAAAATAAAAGTAAGTTGTGGCTGAATGTTTATATATTACTTGAGAAACTTGCACTAAATCAACAAATAAATCCTTGAAGTGGCAAATTGTTGTGGCTTCTTTTCAGGGAAATGATAGACAAAGTGAAAATATCGATTAATTGCTGCACCGCATATTTAAAATTAATTATTTTATGATAGGAATGAAAATTTAACAAAAAATAATTTTCAGATATTTTACTTACGTTTAGTAATATTTATTTGCAAGATTATATTGTATATATTACTTTTTGATTGCGAAATTAATAAAATAATTAATAGAATGATATTAGCTAATTACGATCCATTTTTATTCCCTACAAAATTAGTACAGAAACAAATTACAAGGGACCCAATAGTGGCTTAACAATGGCAATATCTTCTTCGAAGACTATCTGCGACGATGGAATCCGCCTCTGTAGTTTGGGAGTTAAGAGATAAGGTTAGGATAAGGCTTACCTAGTCGACTAAATTCCGTTAGCTTCCGCGATAGTCGGCCAAGTACTTATCACCCTAGCAAAAGAAAATTAATTTAGGAAATATTTTTTTTTTTTAAACTAACCCAAAATTATGTGTGATCAATAAAATTTTCAACATCACTTTGAAATATCTAACATATCGATGCCCTTGGTAAACATATAAGGACCACTGTTGAGAAAATACACTGATACTCGTATGCTGTGGCTTAGTTAATGCAGAAGCTTATCAAAATTTCAACAAATATGTATTCAGTAATATATAACAGACGCTCCTTGGGAAGCCCTATGATAAAATCTAGCAAATATGTTTTCAATGATCTCTTTAAATATAAAAGCTGCATTCACCTAGCGGATAGCAGTTCGAATTATAATGCAGAGGGTCATGAATTCGAGCTCTGACCAAATGAAGGTAAGTTAGAAATGTTTTATTGCGACCACTTCTAGGCAGAAAATATTAAATCTTTCGAAAAAAACTAAGTTGATTCATAATATCAATCTTATAAAATATAAAAGCCATACGTATAAAAAATGGCCCCCATCCCTTAAAAAAGTATATGGCGAATTTCAGGTGAAGGAAACTGTTAGTATATTTTTCAGTTCACTGGTTAGTGTACTTCCCAAGAAGAGTAGTCTTTCCATTAATCGAAGCAAAAGGCTATCTACGTACCGTATTTCAAGTAAGTCGAACTATAAGATTGTTTCGGCATAAGTCTTCCCTTAGAAACAATATTTCAAGCACTTAATAGCTTGAAAAAAATAAAAGAAGTCAAATTCAATGTAACAAATCATATTTAATGCCAGGTTTCTTTAAAAAATTTTCAAAAAATAGAAATTTTTTCCTGTAAAATAGAAAATACTCCAATTTCTACGTATAAGCCTTTGCCTATCATTTATGATTTAGTTGATTTATATTAAAACGTAGGAGTCCTTAAAATCACTGCAAATATTCCTTCTTATACCGACAGTTGGATTAAAAACAGCAAACCCAGATGTCTGTGGCAGTTTAATACGCTCTTTGATATCTAAGGATATTTGCTTTATACATATAAATATGTATTTAGTATGAACATTCAATTGGTTACAAACTCTAAACAAGTTAATAGATAACAGTTACTGACAGTGAGTGAAGTAGCTTGTATTTGTGTAGAAATGCAGCAGATGGATACATACAAACATGTATATATATTGCATTAATAACTGCTGACTTGGCAGCTTGTCATTAATGAGTCAATGTTATCAATGTTGCTTGTAAAGCTAATAGAAAACAATGAATTAGTTATATATGTATATATGTATGCAATGTGCATGTGAGTGTAAGTGTATGTATTGGGGTTTCATAGCATTACAAACTTGATTTGATTTACATTGAAATTATATAAATAAAACTATGAAATCTATCTGCAGGATTAATGTCAACGGACGACCAACACAAGTTTAACAATAACCAAAAACAAGCAAGTAAACAATCAATGAAATTAGAGCGGATAACAGAACCACAGATCTGCTGGCAACAATTCCAAATGCAACTACAAAAACAACACCGACATTAGAAAGTAAATATTACAATCACAATGTACAGTTAAATCAACAACTACTGGCGAGCAGGTGCTGTTGACAACATAAAGTGTAATGCTGAGAAATTTTAGCTAAAGTTGAACAAAAGTTTGTTTTACACACCTATAAGTATGTACAATACATACATAATGCTAATAGAGTTACGTATACGCCCGGTATGTCTTTGAATATTGTGAAAGACTAAGGGGAAATCATACAAATTTACGAGTATGTATGTGCTTTCTTGTATATATAAAATGTCACACATTTAAGGTATTTAATTGATTGAGTTTTAGTGCAAAACTTTCAACAAGCTAACTGCACGTTGAAAAAGACAAACTTGGCGGTTTAAAATGAAGCGTAGGCGAGAGCGATCACATACCTACATAAGCATACATATGTATTTACTTGTATGCTGTATTGTATAATAGCCCTGCAGGGAAAATTACAAGTTGCTAAATTAAAAAAATAAATAGTAAGCTTAAAATTTTAAATAAAGTAGAAAATCTATAAAGTATTATTTCCTGGGAATAAAATAGTAATATATAGTATTTAAGTCTTCAGTAACTGTAAAGTAAATAATAAGAATGAATAAATAAAATTTTATTACCATACATTTAAGTATATTGCATCACAATATTGCCAGAAATACACCCGGAACACAAGGCATTCCTTGCCATGGAGCAACTTCAATTAGAAAAATTAAAAATTTCATGTCTAGGTGGATTAGAAAAAATAAATTGAAATACGTGTGCTTGGCTAAGTAAAATAAGGAGTTGAAATATGTTTACTGAAATTGTATCAGAAAAGCTTCCTAGAACACTTAAACTCATTTTCGGTCGCATACGGAGTTTTGACCACTTATTTTATTTCTCAAACAAGTTTATTGTGAATCTTCTTAGACAGGAACTTTATACCACGATATTTAAAGTCCCTGATCATATTCATATAATCTTGTTCTTAAGCAAAAGAAGTGTTGAGAAATGCTTTGTAGAGCATATACAGTCTTTTGGGTTTACGCTTTCTGCTGGTGCTATTTTTTTTTTTTAAGAAAAAAGTTTATCTTCATAGAGTAAAGTTTTTGACTTTTTCAGCTCTTTATTACAAACAAGATATTTTTTACTCAAAAATATTATTTCACATTATCTTAATATTTAATGCGGATCAACCCAGAGCTTTAGTAACGCGCCGTTAAAAAATAAATTTTCAAGGGTGTGTTCTAAATACAACATAAACAAGTTTTCCAAGAAGTGAACTTGGAACCGATATATTCTAAAAAATTATATATTTAAGGATCGATTTGTTTTTGAATTTGATTAAAAAAATTATTTTCAAACAATATTACAAAATAATTGCTAAGTTATATTTATATAAGTAACGTAAAAACTTAATCAAAAATTATTTAGAACCTTCTTGAAGTTTCTTGTCGACGATAATAGAAGGATGTTTCGTGAAGCTGCAAAAAAAAATAATAATATCCTTTAAGTATTTAACACAGATTTAAGCTTAAGCAAATATAAAGAATAATTTTTACAAATAATCTACGTCGGAGTGCAGAAATAGTGACTTAAAGTCTACAGTCTATATAAGTGTAAGCCACTTTTATGCGTACCTTTTGTAAAAAATGAAAGTGTACAGCTTAAAAGCTAGTTAATATTTTTAAAAGCCCTATGATATTTTCTTAAAAATCATTTAATCTTTCAATGCACGGAAAAAATATTTATGAAAAAATATGTGCAATTAATAAAATGCTCGATTTATAAGCTGCTTAATACTACTATCTTTGAAGCGCGCCTGTTTCTCTGTAACCTCGACTGATTTTTAGTATTTGTTTTCATAAAGTAACAAATACATACATACATATAAAAAAGTATACTTTCGCCGAGTTGCAAAAGCGCCTTCGAACGAATGCAATTAAAATAAAATAAACAAAATTTATATATGCATGCATTAAAAGTATTATAATTAGACACATACATACACATAATTAGTTTTAATATAAGCAATTAATAGAAAAATATTTGAAAAACATACGAGTTTATTTAAAATAAATACAGCTTAAACTTTTTCAGAGAATTTCATTCTAATTGCGGGAAACTTAATTTACGATGGCAAATATATTTTAATATAAATAGCTGAACTCTATTGAATTTCCTACATTTTTCCTGAGTTATCTAAAAAAAAGATCGTTGAAAATTTGAAATAGAAATTAGCGGAGTAGTTAGCTGTATGCAGCAGTTTACGGAATATCATAGGTTCGAGTCAAGGGCAAATTGAGATCGCAATTTATATGTATAAAGTCAACGAAAAAAAATATAATTTTATAATTGTCCTTCTATAACCGCTGAAACGATATTCAGCCGAGCTTCTCCACCTATTTCTGGTTCTATGTATTGATGGGTTTCCAACAAATGTAGAAACCTTCAGTTTATACTAAGCCGCCTCCGAATGGCTGACGGTTTTTATATGAGTAGCCAGATATACACTTAGAGGGGTTGACATTAACCGAAATCCCAATTCATTACATTTATCTGCTACATTAATTAGCAATATTGAAAACCAAAACAGCAAAACAAATTTATTTCTTTTTTTTTTTTTGAACTACTTAAGAGTTATTTTGACATGCTCGTACATATATGCTTTAGTATAACGGTAAGTAAATAAAAGAAAATTTGTTTCACTAAACTTCAAGATACTTGGTGTATCTGATATAAAATATTATCGTTAATATTTAATATCTAGAAGTACTGTAAAAAATAGGGAGCGACAATTCTTGCCTTATTTCACCGGCTCTTACATACAGCTTTCCTACCAGCAAGTCACTTTTTGCGCACATCTCTCGAGCAACACTCGTGGTGTTTACGTAAATTCTTGTAGCAAGACAAGGAGAAAATTCGCTTTAGCATACAAGTTTTCTTTGATAAAGGGGAAACCGCAAATTAAATAGCTGAAAATATTGGTTTTGATACTGTAGCAATCTAACATCCAGGAAAGTAGAACTTCGGTTTCGTCGAATTTGTTCAAAAGAGGCTACACAGAGTGGAAGGTCAATTGTCGAAACTGTTAATGAAATAATGGAAACTTTCATGCGAATTGTAAAGCCCGAGCAGATGGTACGACTTACCATTTATGAATTGCTGCTGAGTCGTAACAACATCGATCCATGTTCGAAGCAGCTAGTGACTGGTGATAAATAGTGAATCGCTTGCAGAAGCGTCAAACGAAAATGGTAAGACCACGGAGCCGATATAAATAGTATCCAAATCAGGATTGATTAGTAAGAATGTTTTGTTGTGTGTTTGGTGGGATTGCAGAGCAATCATTCATTATGAACCACTAAAGGGAAGTATAGCCGTAATGTCGGCAGTTGGTACGACTGAAGGAATAAGAAGCGACCAATTTTGTTCAATTGGAAAGGAAATGTATTTCATTAGGACAACGCCAGATCACACATCAATATGACTCTCCACAAGCATCCACGACTTAGTTGGGACCCAGGATCTCGAAGGAAATCGGATAATAGGATTCATTGTAAAAATAATGGATTAATTTTTACTAAACGTCGTTATAGGGATACTGGTATTTTTTGCAAACAAATAAGCGTTGGTGACAAAAACTTTCAAGTCAGTTACTAATTTATATTGAGAAAAAGTGGAAGCTGAATCATGATCAACGTAGTTTTCTACTGGCTTCTTCTTAACTACGTCGAAGAAGCTGCGATAAAAATCAATATGTAATCTCTTATTATGCCATACGAATGGAAAGCAGGTTGGAAATTCATAAGAATGAGCTTTATTGATGCCATTAGGTAAGGGGGCTTGAAGTTAGTAGTTTATGCATTCTGGTAAAAAGCATCAATTAGGTGATTATAGGATTTACTTTCGGATCAAAGTCATTGACCTAGTTACATAACGTTTGTTATGTTGGCATACATTCCCCAGCCGTAACCTGAAACCATCAACTGTTTCCATTCCATACTTTCTCTGGCGATTTTCAATTAGAAGCAACGATCACCTTGGATGTTCCAACACATCAAAAACCTACTAACACTTTTACAAAGTGGAAGAATTGGTAATAAACGATCGCTGCATCGTAGTTGTAGATGTTGTTAAAGATATTGGGAGATCGAGTGGATAACGTCATGACATTTTTTCCAGTAGTGTTTTGATGAAGTTGTGATAAAGTCTAGTATTATATAAGTAGGAGGGGATTAACGAAAGTTCGGTAATTTGACCAGAAAAAAATTTTTTTTTATTTATACGTAACATTTGTTATTTTTATCTTCTTTACATAATCGCCATTGATTGCATTTCTTAAGTCTATAGATGCACTACTGAAAACAGTCTCCAAAATCTTTTTGAGCTTATCAAGTTCAGGATTACCTGTACTAATTCTCCCCCCATAACATATCTTTCAATTTTTGAAAATAACCAGATATTTTCAGGTGATGACGCGTTGTCATGATGTAAAAGTAGCGCCTCAAATCCTCTTTCTTCCAATAAAATTTTGAAAAGTTTTGGTAAGCAATCTTCAGTGTATTATTTTGCAGTTACCGTAGACCCTTTTTCGTTGGAATAGCAGCTATTTACATTTTATATAGGGCGAAGTGAACTGACATCATTACTTTTGCGGCTGATTTTTATTGCTTGGATTTTACGGTGGGTTTGCCCCTGTTGGGCTCCATATCTTGGACTATTATTTGGCTTCTGCTTCGCACTTATAGAACCAATATTCATCACCAGTAACCACTTGACAACAATTGCTAGACTGACCGTACTGAACTTAGGAAAAAATTGGGCAAAATTCATTAGAGTCTCTTTTTGGGCCTCACTTAAAATTCGTGGTACCCATCGAGCAGTCTTTTTTGTGTATCTCAGATAATGACTTAATATTCGTGCTATAGCCAAGCCCAATTCATTAGCAATTATTTCTTGTTTTAATCGTGGGTCTTTGTGAATTTCGGACTTCACCAGAGCTGCAGTGACGTCATCAGTGGAATGAAAAATGCCCGGTTTGGAGACTTCGGAACCAATTAGAAATATAAAGACGGTGCGTTCCACATGCAATTTGGCATCCACTGAATATTTGTATTGGCTCTAAATTACCCGAAACCCAATACAGGGATAATTTATGTTTACGTTGGTGGAGCAATTACGTCGTTTTCTCGTCTCCATTTTAGCCGATCGTTCTAAAATTTGAAAGGAAGACTAATAAAGTAATAGCAAATGATTTCGTTATTTAACAATTAACAAAAACTATTTAAACGTCACCAACTGAACGATGTGCATATGTATATGTATATGGCTATATTTCAGAGTACTATTTGAGTAAATAGCCATTCTACTTTTTATTATTAGAAAGTTTTGCATAATTTCATATCTTTGATTGGATTGCATGTAATTCTATTTGGATTTAAACTTTGCTCTGGTTGACACCTTTTATACTACAATACATACATATATGTTTATTATTCACACTTACATTTCCTTTATTTCACGCACACACAACATGCATATGTATGTAAATAATACATATGTACATATATGTATTTTCAAATTTTTTAACATTTCGTGTTATTAAATGTAAAATTACTATTTGTAATTTAATAATCTGCTCTTATTGCACATATGAATATTTATAAACTAATTTCGGTTTATGCGTATAATGCTGGAGCATTAATTAAAATTAAACATAACCTGCATTGCCATGAACTGTTATCGCTTGCAATATTTATTTAATTGCACACGTACAAATATAGGTATATATGTAAATAATGCAATCGTCTACATATCACATGCTAAGCGTGACAATGAACATTGATAAAGTGAAATTCGAAATTTTTATTGTCACAACTGTGTGATATACATAATTATGTATGTACGTATTTCTTTGAAATTAGGGTCAGCAGTTATTGTAGTGTTAAAGAGTATATTATTTGTATGTACATATATGTATGTTATTATGAATTTTAATGTATCATAATAGAAAGTATTGCATTAAATGAAATCAACGGATTTAATAAATAATAAATTCGTAATATGAAT